CTGGTTTCCAGATTATCTTAGCTCTGGGCGAGGCTTTTGATCGGGAAAGCTTTTAAAAATAACGTAATTACAGCGGAAATTTTCTTAGATTATTGCGCTATTATATAGAGGTTTGACTTTCGGTTCTATCGACGTAACGAAATAACTATCGAGAAAATTTATCACATTATTTTTGCGAAAGTATCTAAAATATTTTGGTACTCATATTAATCGTTGTCTTTAAAGTAAAAGTAAATGTTGCGTTAGCGTCTCCTTTTTGGCGCAGAAGCTAATCTGGACGGGGCTTACGTTATTGATACAGAATCCGAAACGCGGACCTTGGCCATATCATGGTCAATGTCCTCTATTGACTTGACGAGTGTCTAAATCGACTCTTACTCATAAGATATCCGCTCTCATTGTTCTCGTGTGTCAATATATTTTACACTGTTGCCATGGATCAACAGCACGACAGAGTGTCCAGACGTTCACCCGTCCATACACTCGCATCGTCTAACGTCGCTTAACTTCGGTGATCCCTCGGAAACCGGTGCTTCGACGTAGCTGGGCCGTTGTCCTAATTAGGGAATGCAATCCCGCAAATGCTGGGTCTGAGATCCTTCTGAGATTCCGCGGGATGAAAGTTGTGGGATTTACCGTGCGGGATCCGCGGGATCGACACATTACTACTGGGTAACCGAATCGATCTCGATTAAGATTAAACCGCTTCGTTCCAGGCCGATGCGTCGACGTTCGGAACCCGGAGGATTCCCCTTACGGCTTGGCCATTAAAAATAAGTGAAACAAACAGGCTAATTGTCAGATTTCTTTCTGGCGTATGTGCGTAAGTAAAGAAAGCGTTTATGTAGTTCTTGTGGACAATTTCGTCAAATAAATTACCGGACATAATTATTGGGACAAGCAAAATTTTAGGGTTAATTTAAAGTTGAGTATCTCTTGAACTAAAAAAGATTTTGGGATGCGGTTTGGACCAGTTTTTAGATGAATCTATTGTGATTAAGATGCTGATGTGGTTTTCCAAAATATATTTAACGAATTCTCGTATACAGGGTGTTTTATAAGAGTGTGAAAATTTGATCAAGAATCTTTTTACCGCAAACTTACAATTTTTAAAAAATCGAAATTTTTACCAAGTACAACTAATCTGTATTGAAATTAGAAAAAACAATTTGATCGGTTTTTTAATTTTTTTTTTTGGTTTTAAGGAAAATACGACGTTTTTTTCGAAAAATATGCATTTTTAGTCATACGTATGGCCCTAAATGGCACAAAAAGCTTTGTACATTCTGCATATGCCAAAAAAGTATTCATATAGAGTGTATCTAAAAATAAATAACTAGCTTGATATTCATTAAGCTATAGATCAAGAAAGAATAACTACTCTTATTCATTCGATACGACGAGGACCTCGAGCTGTTATTGCTGCTATTAAAATTGTTATAAAAATATTGTTTTTGTCAATAAAATAATCTCTGCAATCAATACTTTCCTTAAAAATGTGTGGCTCATAAAGGAATGAAGATAATGGGATAATTTAAAAAATGAAATGTTAGGAATACATTTAAGATTCCAGAAAAGTGTTTTTTATCCAAAATTCCCGTCTCATTTTTTCCACAGTTTGTTTTGAATTTATTGCAAAAAACAACGTTTTGATTTACCCCAGTATAAACCCACCTAACCGAAGAATATAAACCATTAAAGTAATAAAAAATAATGCCAATAAATTTACCTTCACACTGATATCATAATCATAGAAATCGAATTACAGAATAAAAAGTGATGAGACATCAGACTTTTGTGCCGGAGAGTAAAGAAATAAATTCATAAACATTATTAACATAATTAATATCTTACACAAAAAATAGCGACCTTGTGACAAAAACTTTCCTTTTATTGAAAATTTAAGTCAAAATATTGCGAAGGGCTACTCTTATATCGGAGGCGATGGGAACAAGCATTTGCTTCTGCACTTGATAAAAAAATGATACCCACCTATACCTTACACTGCATACCAAAGGGCGCCACTTATTTCAAAAAGATGCTAAGTGTATTAATTGAATAGAAACTAAAATTAGTATAGCTATTAAATATTTTGAGAGACCGGATCAACCAATGAAACAATTCAAATACCCAAAAAAATAAGATTTATTACTTGTTAGAAATATTCGGTACCTATTCGGCACAGCAGTTATGTACATTAATATACAAGAATTATATTTAAGAAACTCTATCTTAAAACTTGTTTAAAATCAAATTATATCTTTTCAAATATTATTCAAACAATTATAATATAAAAAGAATACTTTTTAGAGACGGTCTTGGTTATATTCGTATAATAAATATTTAAATTTGACTTGACTTATTACGAAGATTCATGAACCTTTTTGTTTATATATAGTTAAAGGGAAAAAGATTAAAATCTGTACCCAAGATTGCCCTTACAGGTCAAAGATCATAATGATATAAAAGGTAGAACATAAATAGATGTTAAATCTGAATAATCAATCAATATAACATGATTATTTTAATAATCAAATACAAGTAAAATTTAAGCAATGCTGAAGGCAAATACTTAAAGTGTTAAAAAAAAATAAAACATAACAGGACGCTAAATTTTATAAATTAAGGGTTAAAGTAATGCTGAAGGCAAGTACTTAACCGGTAAATGTGAAATGTTAAGAATAGTTAATTTCTTAACAAACTAATGATTATTTAAAATCAAATTAATAAAAGTTTAGTTTACTATAAAAAAATATACTGGCCTTGTATACCAAATTATACTAAAAAAAGGATCTTCTTAATGATAAAAAACATCATAGCATCCAACTTCTTCTCAGAGGGGTGCAGGGCTGAAATCTAACCGAACAGGCTGCTACTGATTAACTCGGTGATTGAAAAACTCGAAGAAAAACTTGTGGAAAAACTTGGCGAAAAACTTCTAGAAAAATATGCAGAACAACTTGCAGAAAAACGTCTAGAAAAATGTCTAGAAATACTTGAAGAAAAATACGTGGAAAAATGCTGAGAAAAATACGTAGAAAAACCTAAAAAGAAATGCACGGTATTAGCTTCACCTTACATTTTAAAAAACTCGAAAAATTTACGAAGGTACCTATTAATTTACCTCATTGTGAAGGCACACAATCAATAATTATTTAACATTTCGTCTCAAATAAGGGCTGGACACCCATCAAAAAAACTGGAATCTAAAAGAAAGGCATGTGAAGGTTTTTTCTAACGAATGGAATGTCAAAGAAAATCTTACTAAAACTATAGATCCATTAATATCTCAACAATCAAAAACTATATGGGATCTCCATCCATCTATGGGACAACAAAATCACAATATTTTTCCCATATTGTGAAAAATACCAGCCAAATAAATTTAATTCTCAAAATGGCACAGTGACCTCGGTAACGGCCAAATCCGAGGTGGCGATTTTGACGTTTCCCGTCTTGTCGATACACCAGGGTACGATCCAATATTTTCGATAGAGAGCGTTCCGAAATTTAAGTGTTGTAGAAATGTAAAAAGAATATCGATACAATAATAAAATACCGTCTATAATAAAACAAAGTAGCATTTTGAAAATGAAAATGCTACAACCTAAAGCCAAGAATAATCTCCCTAAAAAAATAAATAATATATACAGGGTCCGGCAATAGTGCGTCGGGCATCTGTAGCTCATAGAATAAAATATTTGAGAATTTTGTTTTAGTGCAAACCTAAAGTATGTACCAGGATGTATTTCAGGAAAATATTTTAACTTCTATAGGGTGGCTCAAAAAAGTGTGGGTGGACGTGGATGATTTTTTTTAAATGGAACACCCTGTATATCATTGCATTTTTGGATTCCTTTCAGATCACTTTACATACACCTAAGATATAAATAAATATATTTCGATAGTTTCAGAGATATTAAAAAATAAATCAAAAATATATATTTTTCAGCCCTTCTTAAAAAAATTATTAAAAATACAAGAACTGTTCTGAAATCAAAATTATATTAGGTATTTACTTTAGATAGTCTGTACTTACTTTGCTATAAATATGAATATTGTAAATTATACAGGATGTTCAAAATTCTACGCCAAACTTTCTAAAATATAAAATAATTTTTCTTCGTTTTTTTAAATGGAAGACCCTGTATATTATTTTTTTATTAGATGGAGAGTTTAAAAATGAATATTTTTTGTATTTAGAGTATTTCAAAATTCTTAACGGTTTCGCAGATACACGCAGTAATATTTCATATGGCGCTTTCAATGGTAAAATACGAGAGAAAAATCATTGGGTGGCTGATGATAAAAATTTACTGTGGAAAATGCCATATGAAATATAAAACCGCAAATATCTGCGAACCCGTTAAAAATTTTGAAATACTGTAAATACAAAAAATTTTTATTTTTTAATTCTCGCTCTATTGAAAAAATAATATACAGGGTGTTCCATTTAAAAAAACGAAGAAAAATTATTTTATATTTTAGAAAGTTTGGCGTAGAATTTTGAACATCCTGTATAATTTACGTTATTTATATTTATAGCACAGTAAGTACAGACTATCTGAAGTAAATACCTAATATCGTTTTGATTTCAGAACAGTTCTGGTATTTTTAATAATTTTTTTAAGAAGGGCTGAAAAATATATATTTTTGATTTATTTTTTAATATCTCTGAAACTATCGAAATGTATTTATTCATATCTTAGGTGTATGTAAAGTGATCTGAAAGGAATCCAAAAATGCAATGATATACAGGGTGTTCCATTTAAAAAAAATCATCTAGGTCCACTCACACTTTTTTGAGCCACCCTATAGAAGTTAAAATATTTTCCTGAAATACATCCTGGTACATACTTTAGGTTTGCACTTAAACAAAATTTTCAAGTTTTTTATTCTAGGAGCTACAGATGCCCGACGCACTATTGCCGGACCCTGTATAAGTCAAAGAAAACTCAAAATAAAAAAAAGAATATATTTATATATTCCTTTTCTTTTTCAGGTATGAACTGTCTTAAAGAGCTCGAAGTGGTGATCCCCGTGGCAGTACGCGTAGAAGACACTGTTACATTACAGTGCAAATACGACTTAGAAGGAGATCAGTTATACACAGTAAAATGGTACAAGGGTAGCAGAGAATTTTACAGATTCGTCCCAAAAGAACTGCCCAACACCGTCATATTCCCGTTGCCAGGAATCGACGTTGATGTAAGTTACAGCCTCTATAATAGTATACTTTAGAAATATTACTTCTTCCTCATTTGGCATTAGGACGGTTTTCAAAATATTTGCGTTTAAAAGTTCTGATGCATCGATTTTAGCATTAGCGAAATCAGGAGATTCATTTATTTAAAATCTCTTTACATTTTATCATTTCACTAATACTAAAATCGATGCATCGTAATCTTTAAACGCAAATATCTTGAAACCCGTTTAACTTTTCGAACTAAACGAAGAGCACCTGTTTTACGTAAAAAAGTTCTAGCTTTTTATATCATTGGTTGAAATTATTTTATCTATAAGGATAAAAGAAATACCACCAGTAATACTCTGTACCTTAATGGAAAGTACCTTTTCAGGGGTCTTACGGAATTTTTCACAATCGCCGTTCGGTTTGACCTTAACTTAAAATGTGTGTAAGAGTACCAAATTTCAGGAAAAACGTTTTACCAATGTTCTTAAAAATAAACAAAATATATTATTTTTATTTAACTTTTCGAGGGTTGTCTTTGGGGAGTATTTTAGGGGATATGTTCATAGGAACTTTTTTTTTATTTGGGTCACAGGTTACATCATGGATGATTTTTCTCAATGCGCCTCTGTCTTTTGTCATCTCGATGACATCGTGCATTGGCTTGCTACAGCTAGTCGTGATCTGGTCTATCCATCGAGTTGGAGAGCGGCGACGTGGTCTACGTCCCTCCACCTTGCCTTGAATTATGAGTCTTTCCATATTGTCCGGACTTCTCCTCATTATATGTCCAAAATATTTTAGTTGTTTTAGTCGGATTTTACAAGAAGGCCTGTTAGTAATATTAAGTTCATTTATAATGGAAACGTTTGTACGGCGTTCAGTCCATGGGATACGGAGCATACGTCTATAACAATACATCTCGGTAGCATCGATTTTCTTACATTCCGCCTGCCTGAGAGTCCACGATTTGCAGCCATACGTTCAATATTGGGAGTACGAAACAGTTCACTAGCCGGTTTTTGGTGGCTCTTGAAATCTGGCGGACTTTCCAGATCTTGGTCAGTTTCCCAACAGCTACCTTTGCCATGTTGCACCTACGCTTCACCTCTTCTTCCGATGTGCCTGTATTTGTCAATAGTGATCCCAGGTATACGTATGACTTAACTACTTCAAAGCGGTCGATATGACTTATATTTGGATGGTTGTTATGTTACCTATCAACTATCATAATTTTGGTTTTTTGTTTATTTAGTTCCAGAGCCGATTGCTTTCGTTTTCTACCCTATTTACTAAATTGATTAACTCTTCTTGACTGTTAGCAAGTAGTGTTGTATCATCTGCAAAGCGTAGATTATTTATTTTTTGGCCATTTATTGAAATGCCTCCTTCCCATGTTTCTAGCGACCTTCTCATTATGTATTCTCCGTATATGTTAAATAGTTGAGGAGACAATATACACCCCTGTCTGACTCCTTGTTCGAGGGAAAATTCCTTTGAAGCTGAATCCAGTATTCTAACTGATCCTGTAATGTGCTGATACAACTGAATGATAAGTAAAATAAGGTGTTGCGGTACCCCCACTTCCTTTAAGATTTTCCACAGGTGATGCCATCTGACTTTATCGAAAGCTTTTTTATAGTCTACGAAACAAATATAAAGAGGAATGTTGAATTCTCTTGCTTTCTCTATGATTTGGCGCATATTCAGAAGATGTTCCCGAGTGCCTCTGCAATTGGTGAAACCTGCTTGTTCTGCTGGAATTTCTCTTTCTAGAAAAGCTTTCAGTCTTTCATTTATAATTTGCAACATTACTTTACTGGCATGTGAGATGAGGGAAATTGTACGATAGTTGCTGCACTTATGTATGCTCCCTTTCTTGTGGAGAGTGACAATGGTGGAGTGTGTCCAGTCGTCGGGCCATTCTCCTGTGTGCCATATTTTATTACAGATCAGATGAAGCATTTCTAATCCAGGTTCTTTAACGGCTTTTATTATTTCTGCTGTCATTAGGTCTGAACCTGGTGCTTTATGGTATCTTAATTTGTTTATGGCCAATTCAACTTCACTTTTAAGGATGTCCGGTTTTTTCTCTGAATTTTCGTGGTGGTCGACATAGTTATATTCTTCACTGTCTTTGTATAAATCTTAGCAATATGATCTCCACACCTCAATAATGTCTTCTTTTTTGGTTCTTAAAGTTCAATTTTGATCTTCGATTGCCCAATTTCTGGCTTTAAAGTCCCTGGTAATATATTTTATTTTTTTGAAGAGGTCTTTGGTTGGTTATTTAGACTGTGTCCCTCGATTTCTTTGCATATATCAGAGTAAAATTGTTGTTTGTCTCTTCTTGCTCCTTGTATTATTGCCTTATTCAGGTATGTTAGTTCTTCTTTCTCTTCTTCTGTATGTATGCCTTTCCGGTGGAAAAGTCATCTGTCTTCGATGATCTGGAATGTCTCGTTCGATAACCAGTGTTTTCGTGTTATCGGTTGATCTTCTTTTTCTGACCCTGTTGCAGTTGTTGTGCATTTTTTGAAAGCTTCCCATATTTCTTGGGCTGTTGTATTTTCTGTTGAGGTTGTCAGTTGCTTGGAGAATTTCTTCGCTGTTTCTTTTTATTAATCTTGTTGGTGTTATGTGGTTGAAGGGTGTTTTGAGTTTGAGTTTTATTTTGGCAAATAGGAGCTGATGGTCTGATCCACATATTGCCCCTGGTAATGTACGTGCTGTTTGAATGGAGGATTTCCAGCGGGTGTTGGTCAATATGTAGTCTATTTGGTTCCGTGTTCTGTCTCCAGGGCTTCTCCAATGATACGGATAAATTCCTTCGACCAATTTGAGGGTATTTTCTTATTATTTCTAGATGTTTACGCATTTTTTTCACTTGCCACAATGCTGAACAGTCAGCTGCGGTAGTTGCTAGATAGCTGTTCTGTGACTTGAAGTTCTTCTCAATATCGTTAAACTGACCCACAATAGAATTTTCAAAAATACCAGCCCACACGTTCAATTTCTGAGGGTTTTGTGTTTGCACCTCGTGAAAAACCCTGGGGTTGTCCTCAGCCCAGTACCGACAGTTGTGCCGATTAAAGACAGCGTTCAAAAAGAAAGTACACTCATCCGAAAAAACACACATTAAATAGGAAATTATTATCATTCGCCACTCGTTCACTCATAGTTTCACAAAATTGCAAGCGACGATCAAAATCGTCTTGGTTGAGTTCTTGTACCAACTGAATTTTGTACGGGTGGAACTTGTGTTTTTTAATATCCTTTGGACACTTGTACGATTCAGGCCGGTCTCATTGGCTAATTTTCTTGTACTCAGCGTACTATCCATGACAACTTGGCCCAATACGAATATCTCCATAGTTTCATTTACTACAGGATTTTCCCTCTACCTCTTTTTATTCATAACGGAACCAGTTTAGCGAAATTTTTCTACTAACTCGTGAACAATTTTGCCATAAAGGTGTCTGTCAGGGTAGCGTTCATTGAATATCTGCGCAACCCGATTGCCACATTCATTATTTTTAAAATAAAGTTCGATTATTTCCACTTTTTCTGCAAGTGAGTACACCATAATTGTTAAAAAGTTTAACGATATTGAGAAGAACTTCAACGCAAATTCAGTTTTCACAGAACAGCTATCTAGCAACTACCACACCTGATCGTTGTTACCACACCACACTTGATTGTTCAGCATTGTGGCAAGTGAAAAAAATGCGTAAACATCTAGCAATAATACGAAAAACCCTCAAATTGGTCGAAGGAATTTATCCTTATCATTTCTCTGGTAAACGTTTAAATAAACTTTTCAAATTTTAATCCTTCATATTTTCTCATTGACTCGACCGATTTTCAAAAACGAAGCGAGAATATATAGAGAATAGAAAGCCCTTTTCACTGCGGTACCACTTGACCCCCCTTCCCATTTGAAAAAAATTGGGGGATGACACCCCCGCTTAGAGGGTTGAAGATTTTGCAATTAATTTTGGGGCAAAAGTTGTCCCCCTCACAAATAAAATTGACGTGTTTTTGGATTTTCTGAAAAAAAATTACCCAGGCCGTTATGCCTTGCGGAACGTTTTCGATGGGCCACCCTGTATATATTTGACTCACCCTGTATATCTATAAAAATATTTTTTAAATGTGAACTACTATTAAACACTTATTTTGTAAAAGGTTTGGAGTGAAAATTTCAAATAGGAATCCTGATACAGAGCTTTTCCGGAATATGTATGTGTCTTTATTTAAATACTAAAATGAAAGCAAAGAATTTAAATTGGTAAAATTTGTAATATATTTTATTAACAATACAATGCAAAAAGTTTAAAAAATTCGTTCATAGTAAATGAATTCCGAGGTTTGTATCCCATAAGGGCTTAAAGCACTCCACTACTATAGCTTATATTATATCATACTCTGAGATCTATAGAATCACCAACCAAGTTAGATACATCGTTTTTTCACACCCTGTATAAGTCTAAATTTTTATATTGCTCTAGCCGCAGAAATCACAAAATTATAATACTTTGATCAATAATTACATTGAAAATTCTCAAAGCAACCTATTGAACGTTAAAGACTTGTATTAACGACATATTTCTAAACTTTCTTATTTAAATGTTGTCCATATAAACCCGCCGGCACGGAAATTTACGTTTATTGACCGAGTTCTTTGATTCGTACAAATTCTAAGCGAACTTTGTATAAACTACGACGTTTATGCCTTTCTCTCCTTTAGAAATTCCTCCACCGTTCATATTTATTCCTTGCTGAGTAATAAAATCGGAAAACTTATGCATTTTCCTGTTTTGTGCATAGTTATTTTATTAAACGCTTTTTACTGCTTACCCTGCTGCTGATATTTACGACGAATGTTGGTCGGTTTAGAGTTTTCCTATGAAAATTCATGTATATATGCGAGTAAAGTACTTTGAAAACTGAAACGTATATGTACGTTGGCAGTTTTCGCATTTGTACAAATAGTTTTAGAGGTCGTATATAATTA